TGTATATGGAGCAGTGTTGTTGGATAAATCAGAATGTCACTATATAGAATGTCACTATATATTGTGAGGCAATTCTAGGTTTCATGGATAATCTCTGTTATGTTGCTTATATGTGTTGCTTATATGTGTTGCTCGCCCTTTTTGTCTTAAAAGGCTTTGGTATAGTAAAGGTAAGAGCTGGTTTTGAGAGCATACTCCCATGTGTCATCCATGTTTGAGCATTCCTAGTTTAGTCTTTCTTCAAACCATTTATTTATTTTATTGGAAGGGAATACAAACATGTCACAGTGTATATATGGAGATCAGAGGACAATTTATGGGAGTCTATTCTTTCCTTTTATTGTGTAGGTTCCAGAGACCAACCTCATGTCCTCGGGCTCTGCATTAATGACTAGCCACTGATCTCTCTCACTGGCTGTACTTGTTTTGTCTTTATGACTTAGAGTGAATACAGATTCTTGCCTAAAGTCTGGATGTCATAAGAGTCTGCATAATTTGCAACAAGTCTGGCAATAAACCTTCGACTAGTGAAGCATATCTATGCAGTTTGTATATAGAATTCTTTTGTATGTTTCAATATTTGTGCATTGTGGTAGTCATCTGGATGCTATATTGGTCCAGATATTTTGTAGTGAATATATATGTTTTGAAGAGAATCTGTGTCTTTGAGGCATATAAATGTGTGGTTTCCGTGTCTATACATTGTGGGACCAGCATGGATCTTGCTGTGTGATTTTCTGTAATGCAGAGTGCTGGTATCTAGATTCAAGTAAGGTTCTTCTGTTTGGTTTCAACCATTTCTGTTCATTATGAGGTGAACTTTTTTTGTTAAAGTGCTACATTTTTCTTTGATAACTGTCTGCATTTGGAATAACATTTGTTAGGTGAAGACATTTTCTATCTTAGGGAGGGAGTGGTTTGCATGCCCTGTTGTAAGACTAGAATGAACAATGAATGTCTGATTTATGAGGGAAGTCTGAGTTTTGCTGGCTTATATTCAGTGTGCAAGGTATCTTAGTTGATAGGGGATAAGGCTGGGTGCCATGGGAAAATTTGATGTCACCGGGTAAATTATCCAATCTCTGTATATGTTTAAGTCTTGCAGAGAGAATGGCTCTATTGCGCAGTGTATGTACATGAAGCTAATTGAAGGCCATTTTGGTATGCTGTCCAGGGTTTCTATGCAATCAAGGGAATGCTTATGTAGTAAATGTAAGACTTTTCCAGGCCTGAGGTTTGTGGTCAGTTTGCAGGTTGTGAATAGTGTTTATGTTGTGAGCAATTACCTTATATTTTGAGACAAGCCTAGGTTGCTAGACATTGAAGAATCCAGATTTTCTAGAGGAAGGAGAACAAGTCTAGTTGGTTGGAAGTGTTTGACTAATATCTGATATTTCTTACTATGCAGGGCAAGCATGTTATAGAGAAGATCTGAATCTCATGTATTGGTCAGCATGTCTCAGGGTGATACTTGGTCAGCTCACTAAAGTGAGTGTTGAGGAGGTCATGTCTATGGATTGTAGCACTTTATGTGTATTTTCCCCCAGTACAACTTTGTTGTTGTTGTTGTGGCTTATTGTTTAATTGCTTTGACTGTTCAGACAGGCTCTCACACATTCCAGGTTGGTTTTGAACTTGCTATGTAGCCAGGGATGACTCTGAACTTCTAACTTTCCTCTGTCCACCTCTGGAATGCTGTGGTTACAGGTACACCATACTCAGTTTTATTCAGTGTTGGGGAGAAAGCCCAGGGCATCTTGATTTCTACTGAGCTATGTCCTCACCCACTGCTCAGCTATATCTTGGTGCTTTTGCATCATGAGCCTATGTTTTAGGACTAGTGGATGTTGTCTGGAGATTATATATATTATGGGGCCAATCCAGGACATTTGAGGAAAACTCTATAGTTTTCATGAAGTGAATGTCATTCTCATGGGATACTTCTGTTTGCATAGAAGCAAGTATTAAGTGCATTATAGCAACTCAGTACTGTGAAGCACACCTGTAATTGTACGTGTCTATGAATTATGAATACTTTCTATGTACCTGGAAGTGTTTCCATTGTGAAGAAGATATTTTCAGAGACCAGTCATTATTTTGGGAATAATTAAAGGCTATAGCTATAAACTTCTATTAATATTTTCTATAGCGAGCCTACTGGGTACAGATGATAGTGGGCCATCCTGTGTATGACAGGTCAGTCTGTGTTTCATATGAGTCTGGGTATTAGGGGTTATGGTATTTTGCCCTATGTCCAGGTTCTATATTGTGTGGATATTTTCTGGTTGAAGTAGAGTATTCTGTGCCTTGGTTGGGTTTTTTGTATATTCTTTGGTGTTTCTTCTGATGTGAACCTAGATTTTGTAGAGGGAAGGGAGGATTTTGTGGAGGTGGCCATTGTGATGATAGTAAAGTCCTTGTGTGTGCATTTTTAGGGTGTGACTTTGTATAGTGTGAGTATTTGGTCATTCCAGGGTATGTTTTGATCTTCTGTACTACACCTCAGTACTATAGAGCATACCTGTGCATTTTGTCTTTTGTAGCATGTGCTTCTATGACAAAAGTTACAGTAAAAAGAAGTTATTCTGTGTTGCTAATCTGTATGTTGTAATGAGATTCTATTGATTACATGGGCCTGACTATTCCATGTTGTATGGTACATCTGGCAGCCAAGACTCAATTTACATGATATAGGCAATGTCTGGGTAAGGTGAAATAGTTCTCTATATGGTGTAGCTACATGAACATTGTGACATAGTTAGTGTATGCTGTCCAATATGTTGGTGTTTATGATGCATTTTGTTGTAGAGATAAGCCAGTATTTCACTAGAACAATATAGTGGGATACTAGGAATAATCTGTGTGTTGTAGTGCAAGCCTTAATTCTGTGACTTATGAAGCTAGTCTATTTACTATACCAAGGCTTATGTTGTTTGATGAGTTTTGTGTTTTGGAGAAATATATATGCTGTGGATTCCTTTGAGGAGTTTAAGCCGAGTTATTTGAGTTGTAGAGCTAATGTGGTACATCTATAGTGGGGCATGTGCAAGAGCCTTACAAGATGAGTTTTTACATAGGTGAACTTCTGTATTTTTGCACTATCGTGTGTGCACTACACTGTGTGCCTAAATGGTGTGTAGTAAGTATAGATTCTATGTAGACACTATGTGGTAGGTACATCTAGATGTTGTAGGCTAAGTATAGTTAATACAGATGAAGTGTTGTGATAAGATTGTGTGCTTTATGGAGGACTCCGTGTGTTTGTGTGTGTGTGTGTGTGTGTGTGTGTGTGTGTGTGTGTGTGTGTGTAGGAGGCTGTTTTTGTTGTTTTAGGTTGAATCTTACCATTATTGTCCAGTGTGTGCATAATAATAATAACAGTAACAGTGTCAACAACATGAATGACAGCAATTCTTTACCGGGTACTGTTATAAAAGCTTTGTAACCATTACCTCATCTGTTCCTCTTAAGAGCTGTATGACACAGGAATCTTATTATCCTAAATTTGTAGGTTAGAAAACACAGAGAGGTCAAAATAAACTTTCTTATGTCATAAAATGATATTGATCTGTTAAAGATTCCAGCCTAAGCAACTGGAACTCTGAGTTCAAGCTTTGTATTAGAGAGTGAGTCTCAATGCCAGGCATCAAGTTGTATGCTGTGTTGAGCTTATATGAGCTGAGATTTGTCTTCACTTTGCACCACATTGGGCACAGTGGGATGTGTTTTTGTACTGTAGCTTTTCTTTCCCTTGTATGAGTTTGTTTAAATCCAAACCTAAACATTGTGACTCTGTGTAGCTGTTGTCATGTGATAGTGTTGTAGTGTATTTAAGAATATCGGTGCTTGGGATAGCTCTGTCTGATAGGACATTTGTAGACCTGGGGGCTAGAGAAAAGGTTCAGTGATTAAGAGCATGGGCTGATCTTGCAGGGGACTCATGTTTAATTGCCAGCACCTGAGGGGGTCGCTAACAAATGTCTTTACCTCAGGATGGAGGGAATCTTAATTAAGCTCTCATCTGGCCTCTGTGGGTACCAGGTATATACATGGTACACGAACATACACACAGGCAGGATACTCATACACACTCAATTTTTAACTTTTTTTTAAGTTAATCTATGTGGTATATGATATATGATCATGTATGTGGGAATACATTAAGGTAAAACAGATTTATGTGCAAAGATATGAAGCATATAGTTGTTTATGAATTTAGCATAAAATATGAGTGAGTAAATGTGGTTTTATAAGGGGCTTTGCATTAAAATGCTCTAAATTTAGGAATGTAAATTTACACAAACACTTGTGAACAGGAGGGAAATCCACAAACTTTGGAAATGTGATCTTTGTCATACAGTACATAATTATAAGTTTATGGTATGTGTATTTACACTGTACTGCAGATCTCTGCTATATGGGGTAAAGTTGAATATTATCCATATAGTCTGTGTGTTTGTCAGGTGAATATATACATATGAAGTAATCATACGCATTACTGGCTATGTTTCTTAATTCCACTGTAAATTGTAATGTGAGTGGCATCTAGTTTAGTGTGATGTCCGTGCCTTATTAGATATTATTAATATCTTATTAATAATAAGATATTAATATAATAATAATTATATTATAAGATAATAAGATATTATTAATATTAAGGTGTTATTATCTTAGGGTGTAAGATATTGTCCAGTATTGTCCATATGCAGTAGAATATTTCTGTATGTTCTAGGGCTAATCTCTGCACTGTGGGGCAAATCTCTATTGTTAGATGAATGTAGATACTTAAAATGAGCGCTTTTGCTTCAGTAACAATGGTGGGGTTGTAGGTGATTGTAATGAGAATTAACAAATCTAACAGTTTCCAGGTAGCAGGCACTGTACTATACTAAACATAGCTAAACTTTTCTTATTTTATTCATGGTAATTCTTCAAAGTAAGTACTATGGTCATCTTTGTTTTACAGATGAGCAAACTAAAGAACAAAGAAAAATACTTACCTGTGGCAATACAATTAGTAAAGGATGGGATCAGGAGACAAGCCTAGGAAGCCTGGGTCCAGAGGCCTTGCTCTTAATGGATACCAGGCTGTATCTCTGCTGTAGGCCAGAATTGTAGCTCAATGATATGATAAAGCATGTCTGCCCTCTATGATGCAAAGTACAGTTAATATATGCACTATATACCTGCACAATAGGAGGTGATTATTTGTATTATAAAGTAAGTGTTATAAGGTAACTCTGCACAACGTAGAACAAATCTATGCATTCATGGGTATATCTATAAATTTTAAGACACATATGCTGTGACTGAGTGTATTATAGGGCAAGTCTGTGACCTGAGCAGCTTGGTGGTATCTTCTGTCACTCTTTGGGAGTATTTATGTGAGCTATAAGGGAAATATGTATACTAATAGGAGATTCTCTTCATTCTGATAGAAGTCTATACATGGCTGGGCATATCTTGTTTTATAAAGAACAGTGAAACTGCCTGTGTGCTTTGTGATAAATATAAGAGTCACTTAAAAACTGGATTCAAATGTGTTTAGGAGCATGTATCTAGACAAGAACCATGGCAAGAAGTATTGCTTTTTAGAGATAATGATGTATAGGAAATGTATTGCTACTACAGAATTCACAGCATTTGTGGCAGTGAAATGCTGTGTTCTGAGATGTGTTCACATGTAGTTTACACCTGTATTGTGGGATGAGTGTGAATATTGTAGATCACCTTTGTGATGAGGGTGGGGAGGGGACTTTGAGTACCTTACTGAGTAATTCTGTGAATCTGGAAGGAGATTTGGATGATGTGAAGCAAATGACTGCCTATGTGGCAAGTGTTTGCACTATAGGTTTTCACTATATGTTGATCATGAGATGAACTGATGTGTTGTAGGATACGTGTGTGTATTAAGATAAAATCCTCTTTAACAAGGCATGATTCTATGTGCTTCAGGTTATACTTCTATATTGCTGTGTGGTCCAGTGAGCAGAGCTCAGAAACCTGGAAGTGTCTTCTAGACCATACGCTTAATCTGTGTTGCATGGGGTAAATGTGCACAGTAGGAGTGTGGAGTGTGAAATAAGCCTCTTTCCTAATGAAATGTTTGCCAGATGGGAGAGTTTTTGTTTTGGGGGAGTTTGCATGTCATGGCAAGGGATTTGAGAGAGGTTGTATGTCTGTGTTCAGGGAGGAAGTTTGCATTCTACTGGCATGATGCTATGCTGTGGATAGTCTCTTCGGTGCTGAAGGTTTCCATGATCTGTGTTGTGTGTTGTAGGTAAGGCTGCATGTTCTTGCAAGGATTAGTGTGATGTGAGGGAAGTCTGTTTCACATAAACTTTGTTTGCCAGGACTTCAGTCGGTGGAGCACACATGGGGAATAGTATTTATCTCAATGTGACTGTTTTGCTGTGGAGAGAGACTTGCTGTGAAGAGTACTTACGTGTTCTGAGGAGAAGTTGTATGCTTTTAGAAGAATCTGTGTTGTATGAATTGAGTCTATATACTTAGTGTATTCTGGATAGAGTCTGATGTGGAGATGAGCTAGAATGTTGAGATTTTTATGTGTTAAAGGCAATACCTTCTTGGTGAGGTAAGACTCACCATGTGGTGCTAATAAATGTCCTTTAGCTTGGTCTCTGTGTTGAACAGAACCTACGTGCAATCTAAAAGAGCCTAATGTCATGGAAGGTATCTATGTGATAAGGGGAAAATCTTTTTGCCATGGTATATAGTAATGTGCCTCAGGATAGTACAAGTCTCTGCTGCAGGTCATCTGTGGGCTACGTGAGGTGTCTGCATTCTAGGGGTGGTAAGTGCCTGTGTCTGGGATCTGCTCAGCATGGGATGAGTTTGTTGTACTAGTGCAGGCACCAGTCTGTGCTACATAATTTTTTGATATCTACAAATAACAATAAAGAATATTTTTAATGGTTAATCTGTAGCACTTTTCTAAATGCGCTGTTATTGTTCCTATTTTACAGCTGAGGAAACTGAGGCACAGGATGACTAAGGAATTTCATACAACTGTCAAGAAAGAGATAGAGGTTTGAAACCAGGATATTTGTTTCCTGTGGCCACACTATAAGGATCCCTTTGGGCCCTAGGGATATTTGGGACCATAATAATTGGAAAAGCAGCATGGTCACTGATGAAACTATTGACTGTGGCTGTGCTAGGAAGGAAAACAAGAGAGAAATCTCTAAGTCTTCTGAGGATTAAAAAAATGCGATGCTTATCTGCAGTAACAGTCGCAGTTTAAAGAGAGAAAAAATGACGTCTCTGGAATACCTCTTCCAGTCACTGCGGCTGTGTGTGTGTGTGGGGGGGGGAGAATCCCTCCCAAGGCCCCACAGCCGCATTCTGCCACTGCAGATGAGCCAATGCGCATGCCCTGCTGAGCTCTTGTTGCCGGGGAAACCAGACTCCAGTCATAAACAAATCACAGCCTAATATGGCAAGTCAGGAAATGACTGGAGCTGTGTCTATGAGCCCAAAGAGTCCCTTGCAATAACAGCAGGCAAAGAAAGCAGCCTAATACTCACCCTCTTTTTCTGTCCAAAATCAGACAAGGCCAGAGGCTGTGGTTAGAAGTCAATAGGCAGGGGTTGGGGTGGGTGGAACTGGGATGAAGTAAGGGGTGAAACAGAGAACAGCAGGTGATTTTTAACTACAAATACTTCTGTTACTGTTTAACTCACCTCCTACTAAAAGCCTCTATGTTTTCTGTCTTGACCCTTGCACTCGCAGTAAATAGAGATGGACCACAGCGATGTTCTCACGTCTTGAAGATATAAATACAGTGGTAACATGTATTGAGACTTACCCTCCATCTTTTAGATCCCGAGATCGTATTACTGCCAGAACATAATTGAAAACATTTCTGCATCTCATGCATTTCTTACATTTCCCTCTTATTTCCCTCTAGAGAATTCCAGGAACCAAATCCACACAGCTTTAACTCTCTGAATACTTGAGGAACAGAAAAATTTGCATTAACCCCTGTAGTGCTTCCTTTTAGACACACAACTGGAATTTCAGAATCATCCAAAAACAGTTAACACCTAGAACAGTGTTCTATGTCACTGGATTCCCCAACTTCTAATTTGTAAAAATAAATAGGTAAATAAATAAGCAAATAAAGATTTATAACTATTTATCTTTATCTTAAATATATACATATATGTATATATTTGAGTTCTATATATTTAAGTTTTATATAAGATATATATTTGCTTACGAATGAATATATATATATATATATATATATACACACACACTGTTTGAAAATCACTGTTCTAAACTGTATACAGCTAGGATTCTTGAAAGGTAAAATGTATAAACACAATGGTTTAGAAGGCTGTGGGATGTGGCAAGAAAGTAAAAGTACTATTATGGAAAGTAACCATCTTGAATAGAAAGAAAATGGCCGACCTGTGGAAAGCTACGCCCTATCTAGTGGGAGAGCAGCTGTTGACATTTCACGGCAGTGGAAGAAGGTTGTATTATTCAATATGCAATGCTGAAACAATTGGTGACCTATTTGGAAAAAAACACAAAATTAGATCCTATTTTATATCATACATTTAAAAACGAATGCTATACAAATTGCAGAGTTAATTGTAAAAAAATAAATTAAATTTCTAGAGAAAATACAGGTATATGTATATGTGGAGGAATACCCTAAAAAAGAAAACAGAAAAATCAACTGACAGATGTAGATATTTTAAAATATTAAAGCAGGAAAATGTTCCCCAAATCAGTATCATAAGTGACAAAACTAAATAGTGAAATAATGACTTGAAAATAATGTTTTTCTCACATATGATAAACAAATTAAGCAAGAAGGGAGGAAACTTAAAACTGATTCATACCATTTAATCCATGAATTCCATGTCTGAATTTTTCCTAAGGAGGAAAAGAACAGAAAGGCACACAAAGATTTATATGGAAACAGATTTCTCAAATCATTTATAATATAAAAAGAACACATTTATGTCTTCATTATTTGGACTTTAGTAATACTTCCATGTGATAAAGCTACACATTCCCTAAACACAATCCTGTGGGATGCCTTAAAAGATGAGAAATTGTTTCCAATATATACTTAATGAACAAAGCAGAATAAAGACTCATCTGATCTTTATTTTGTATTAAACATACATTTCTCTGCATATCTTTGAATATATGCAAAGAAAAGAGACTGACAGCAATTATGTTCAGGTTATGACATTGTAAATAATCTTTACAGTCACCTTTAAATTTTCCCAAATTCTGTACAATACTGTGTTTTTATAATAAAGGGAAACCAACATTTTAATGAGGTATTTTAATAAACATATGAAAAGCTCTGAGGATGCAGAGAAGAAAGTCTAGGAACAAAGACAATAAAAAGCAAAGATTAAGATTAAATAGCAATGGAAGATTACACACGATTAGCTCTTTATCCACCACAGCAGGAATCCAGCATTATTTGCATGTTAGAATGTATAGAATTTCTTATACAAGATGGAGTCCTGGAAATTTTCCTTCACAACACCAGAGAATGGTCACATGTCCCTGGATGCGTCAGTCACTCTTTGCCGCAGTGCTTTGCTGATGCCCCCCCCACCACCACGCTGTTTCCTTTCCCTGCAAAACATACCCCCAGCAGACATGTTCAACTTGGGGAATGGCTTATCTTCAACGACTTTCTAATAAGCCTTTTCCTGCTCATATTCCTCTATGATTTCAGTTTTGTCATCTAATTCAAAAGCCAATCTACCTATCCTTTTATTATTTATCATCATCATCATCATTATTTTCCTTTCAGGTCAGTTGTCAAAACCAATGTGAACTCCAAAGACATTTAAAAATATATGAGTTCATCTCTTTTTCTGTGTTCTTACAGCAACCAGCATAAAAGAACACACACAATTTCAGGGATATTGAGAAGCAAACAGAAATGCTGTATCCATAGGAATCTCTGCTACATTCTCACATTCCTTTTCAAAAAAGAAAAAAAAAAGCATCGAGAATATTCTATCGATTGTACAACATGACATGCAAAAAGCAAATGGATTTTACAAATGAAGGCACAGTCACAATATTTGTTACTTCTTTTTCATGATTTTTCACCCTACAACCAAATTTTAATCTTCCCAATTCAATACACGCTCATCTCTCCTACAAAGCAATGAGTCTTAATATTATTACAGTCTGCCCTCTTCATTTCCTTTCCTACGCAGACATGTCACAGCACCATCTTCTTAATTAAAAGCAAGTAGAATACAGTATCCTATCCTCCACTGCAAAATATTTTCTGCATGCTCACCACACACCAAGAAAACAAACCAGATCCAAGAATCCCTTAAATACTGAATCATAACTATCATTTCATTATGTCTAATTCAAACATCATAAAGCTGAGATATCATTTTAATATTTTCAATAAATCTTGTTTTGATAGGTATCTTAACAGATTTGCAATTTACGTGTGTTCTGTATTTCCTTCTATTAAGTCATTCACCATTTAGGAAGCGAGCCTTAAACTAAGAACGTGACCACCAAATTAGAATATATTCCATTTTCTTGGTACTATAGACTAGACAAATTCCTACACAGTTCTATGCTATTCTGTTCCATCAAAATGTATCACTTGCTTTAGAAAACAGAGCCTTAGCAACTATTTTATGAGAGCTTTCTCGGCTACTTACCAGTTGCGTGCTCTCTGTCTCTCCATCAGCTCTGAAGCTGTCGCACTGAAGGAGTGGGAGGGAAAAAGCAGCAGCGCAACAGCCTCTTGAAAATAAACTGCGCTGTGAAGAAGGGATTAGCCCAAAGGCAAGAAATGCAACGCTCCAAGATTTTCTTCCCAAATCCTCACAAACATTAGGTCATACTAAACAGTGCACGCTAAAATTCATATGCTCATCAAAGGACAGAATTTAATGGTTTAACTTCTAGTCCAGAACATACTTAAATTACCTTAATTTCCAGTGGAACCCCCACAACATCATGGGCTTTTGGCTCTCCCGTCTCCTAGCAACATTCTCGCATTAATACACTTTTCCCGCAGTAGTCCTATTAGACATTAGAGAACACTGACAAGGTCTAGTTTCTGCTGAGGAACACTATTATTCTGCTGCTTAATACACATTCTCCCCTGGGTAAGTAACATAAAGTGAGTGAAGAAATCAGTAAGAAGCCATTTACAGAGAAAATTATGATACAAATTGCATTCCACAGTAAATATCAGATTGGCTCACCCTGACTCAAGACAGTTTGGGAACAGAAACTTTAAAAATAAATAGAATATAGTCCATTTTCTTTCCAAAACTTTCTAATTTAATAATCCACATAGGTTATAAAATAGGTATCTTGAATTTTAACTTTTCTAGAATTAACTTTAAGTAGCATTCATAAGGAAATTTGTCTTAAAATTTCAGCCCAAATAATGAGTTATCAATATGTAAAGGACATGGGAAAGAAATTAAATAATATATTTAGCTTTTAAACATAAGATAAAAATGTGCATGTCTCAGTAACATACCCTTACTTTTATAATTAGCTTTAGTTTTTCACTTTTGTTTTCAAAAATCTATACATTTTAGAATGGTTATTTAAAATGTTACACAAAGGGGCTTCTTTATTTTGCCAGGTAGGAAATTCCTGACAATCCAATTTAATGCTTTTTTTTTTACTACTTTTCAGACATTGGTTTCTAAATAGTATTCATCACCAACACAGACCAGTTTATTGGAGAAATAGCTGATTCTACATTTGGTCCAAGAAAAGTACAAGGTTGGCTTATATGCAAAAGCAGGAAATCATTTAAACTATGATGAACACACAGCAATAAGGTACAAGACAAAGGGTTACAGCACTTTACTGGCCAAATTCAGTTGCAGTGGAGCAGGAAGTGTGACACAGTCTCATTATGTAACCCAGACTGGGATGAACCCTACCTTCTTCTTGGTTCCACCTCCTGAATGCTAGAATGACAGCTACATGCTACCACATTGGGCGGTTTATTTCAGTTCATCATAAAGCACAGTAATGATTGTAGTAAATCATAAAACATTGAATAAGGGAATTCCTGCATTCAGAATGATTTGCAAAGTCTGCAAAAGAACAGGTAAATCATTTCTTTGTAGGAGAAAAATAAGTAATGACACAATTAGGAAATAACCCCTCTCAGAAAACACCAGTGTAATCACTGGCTTAGACAAGCAGCATCAGCACATTACACAGCGCTGGGCGAAATGTTGAGAAAAGTTGCTGAACTACAAAGTACCACAGATGATCTAATTAAATACAAAACAGGGAAGTATTTTCAACATAGAGATGTGACATACATCAACTTAGTTAATTAAACTTCATACCAATAATCCTGTAAGTTGAAGTATACCTCCCAATGGGGTAGAATTGAAAGCACACATCCCCTAGATGTGTCCTGGCCAACACTATAATCTAGATGTACTTTAACATGAAGGTACAATCAGAAAAATGTACATTTTGGAACATTCTAGAATACAACTAATGTGAAACTTTCAAAATATTGTTGTTAGATGTTAAACAGAGTGTGTAGAAAAGCTGTTCCAGATTAAAATTTAAAGAGACATGATAATTGAAAATGATGTGTGAGTTTAGAGTATAACCAGAAAATCAAACAGCTCTAATCGATATCCTGTAGACAGTGGAAGACACAGATAGTCTACAGCTAATTTTGAATTTATGTAAAAAGTCATTGGTAGGATGATACATGATATAAGACTTGTTCTTATAAGACATATGGTGAAGTACTGGGAGATAAGAAACTAATATTTATAAATTGTTCCATGGTGTTTTAGAACATAATCCTGAAGACAGTAAACAGTTGTTAAATCTGTCAGGTGTAACTTTTTCAACCTTTCTGTGACCCTGAAATATTTTAAAAGAAAAAGGGTATGATTCTTACAAACCAAACACAGAAGAAAATTATTTCATAGAATAATTGTGAAATAATTATGAAGCTATACTTTATACAATTAATGGAACTAATGAGTTAGTGATCCATAACAGAAAGCTTTTCATACTGGCCATTAGGTGATGAATATTTATAATGTGCCATCTAGTGATAACATTTCGTTTCAATGACTAAAAGATTTGAAAGAAATGTTAAATTTGACAAATGACCCATTAAATATTACCATAATTCTTTTGCTTAGTGTAGAAACACACAATTTATTTCTTTTGGTACTCTATTAACATATTAATCAGACAAATGAACTTCTTTCATATGGCATTTCCATAATACATATACAGTGAATTAGTTATATCTACCTTCTTGCCTACCTCAAAATTACCATCTTCCTTTCCTTTCTTTGAGTGGCCCCTTTCTTAATCTATTAGGCCCTCTTCTAATTTCTAGAGAGGAACTGTAACATGGTCTTTCTAAGCAGCATACTATGTGTAACACGATGCCCACCAAGCCCTTTTATTCCCTTGAAAAAGACAGTATTTGATTCTTCTATATGGCTGACTAATACTGCATTATACATATTTTCCATATGTGCCTCATTTGTTTTTCTTCTAAATGGCAGGTAGGTTTATTCCATGTATCAATTATTGAGAGTAGTTCCACAAGAAAAGCTATGGTGGCATGTCTTTTGTGTTTTTGATGGTAGAGAATGCTTCTACAGAGCAGACCACTTGTAAGTAACACAGCTCTCTTTAAAGCTGGTTTCTGTTTGATCTTGGTCTTTGAACATCAATGCAAAGTCTGTTTATCTCAAAGGAAAATCGTTAAATTCAGAAAACAGAGCTTTGTTAGAGATATGTTTATTCAGTTCATAAAGGGAAAACACCGCTATAATCCCAGAGCTGAGGAGGCAGAACCTGGGGTTTCAGTATAATTTCAAGGTCAATGTGGTCTACATCATGAGTTTCAGGTCAAGTCTGTATCATCAAAAAATAAAATAGAAAATAAAATGTATATAATACAACATTTAATTTGTTTTACTCTTGCTTTCTTCCCTGACCCTGAATTTCTGACTGTCTAATGAGAATTCAGGCATTTCTTCAAGTTCTCAAGCTAGAAAATAGCTTTCCAATGTGTATTAAACAAGAGCAGAGAACAAACTACAAAAAATTATGACTCATATTAATAATGGAAAACATTTCATGTGAGCCAGTGACACGTTTTAGTGGCTAACATCACTAACAATCAGAGTTTGTTTCCCAAAACCCACAGGGTAAGGAGAGACTCAACTCCCTAAAGTTGGCCCTTGGTTTTCACATGCATGCTATGATACCCATGGGCAAGCACACACTCATGCATATGCACTTGCACACATACCAAATAAAAACAAAATTTCAGTTGAAAAAATATTAATGTAAATAGTCCAATAATGTAAAAGATTTAATGTGAATAGCCCTTCATAATTTTCTAAGTACAACACAATTATTCTACTTAAAACTGGGATATAAAACATGAGTTTTACTTATATTTGACATTTATGCATATGCTAGGCTTCTTGATAAGACTAAGTTATGGTTTCACCTCTCCAAATCTCTTTCATTTTTCAGACTTATTATGTATACAGTGTTCTGCCTGCATGCATGCTTGCAAGTGTGCTTGCATGTGTGCCAGCACATATACCTGCGTGACAGAAGAGGGTATCAAATCTCATTATGGTGATACGAGCCACCACCTGGTTGTTAGGAATTGAACTCAGGATCTCTGGAAGAGCAGCCAACAGAAAGCTCTTAACCTCTGAGGCATCTCTCAGCCCCTCTAAATCTATCTTTAGCATGCCTCAACCCTCCACTGGCATATCCTTTTAGCTAGGATCTTCACCACAAATCATCCCTAAAGGTTCTTGGAGCATTACAGGAAGTTAAAGACCTTAAGAGACAAGGTGGGTACCCACACCCATTTCCAGGAGCAGTATGCTACATGAGTCTAGCAGGCATCAACATAGCCATCACTAGCCTACCCAGAATCTTTGTGAAATTTACTGAAAATGTATTTTCTAGTCACATTGAAGGAAAATATCTCTTTGGTTGCAGCAAATGCTCCATATTATGGGGAACATTAGAAATGAGAATTATCTGTGGGCTTAAATAGCCTGTAGGCTCATGGTACACAAAGAGAATGCAGGCTGAATTCCAGGACTAGCTCCTACTCTTACGCATCAGGTCCCTTTCACAATCTGAATTTACAATTTGAATATGCAACAGCAGTGCTAAGCAGGGCACATGGCATACATTATCACAGCATTCAGAAGGCAGAAGGATAATCACTTTGGTAGACAGGGGCAGCTACATAGCAAATTGCAGGCCAGTGTGATCTATGTAGTAGATCACTATCTTAAAGATAGATAGATAGATGATAGACAAATAAATAGATAGATACATAAACATAAATTCAACTACTTGTAACAGTTTTCTTCTGTCTTGTTTTCTCTCCTAGAGCCCAACAAAACCATTGTTCCAAAGTTTTATGAGCCTAAAATATACTCCCAAGGCTTCAGCCCTCTATGACTGCTCCTGGCAATGTGCGTGGTTGTCTCTTAAGGGTCTCTGATCTGTTTTCCCCCTTGAATGTGCTCACTAGACACATGCTCTGAAGAAGCCACTGCTCACCATTCATTGTCACCTATCATAAAACCATGGCCTTACTCCTCTTTCTATTGCATGGGTAAGAATTTTGCATCACTCCCTTGCATCAAAATCTTTGTTGTACTAAAGCTTCCAGCACAGCACTAGAGTTGTGCAGAA